ACTTCCCCTGTCTAGGCTTGGGCAACCCGAAAGTATCCAGCCCTCGGGCTTCCTTCGGCTGGCATGGCAGCTAGGCACCGAAAAGATGTTACATGTATGTTATATATATATATATATATGTATATATATATACCTATTCATACATATATATAAGACGAATCAGGAAACCCGAAGGCTTACCCTTAGTTTGGGGAGGAATGATAAGAGTAGATCACCCCTGCCAAATTCGAACGCGTAGCTCCAAATTCTTTATATGGCAATGCATTAGATCTTTCTCCATCTTATAGAATAGAATAAAATGAGATTTAACCAACTTTGACTGCCTTCTTGAGGTGTTTGTGTATTTGCATAAATTTCAATCTCTTCGCTTGAGTGACAGCTGTCTCCCCCATGTTATTCACGTGACTTATGACAAAATTGGCGTCATACAAAGGAGGTCAACACATCTGAGCCTAAAGTTGAACTGTTGGTTTTTACTAGCTAATGAGTTCTATTCATATGCTTTTCCCGCGGTATACTCATTCATTGTTAACCAAAGAAAGATCAATTGTATTGAGTAAATAACTGAACCGTCAAAGAATGATCGAATAGTTCAAAGCTCAGCAGTCTCCGCGACGTTTAACTTAATACGCAGCATGTAGCAACAGAGGTCCAGTTGTAACAGGAGAACAAGTTTGGAAGAAACAATACCTCATAACTATGAATATTCGAACACTAAACGTGAAAGTTAATTCAAAAACCACCATTATGGTTGTTCACAGATTCTAACAGGGAAGATTGCTAAAGACAACTAGTGATGTGATCCGTATCCTGCTGAGAGCACACTAAGCAAGAAGAACCTATGACCTATTGGTGCATGACTTGTACGTCGTAGAGTAATCAGTCGGCTTCCATCTAGTTTGGTGCGGATGAATGTTCAATCTAAACATCTGGAAATTTGATTCAAATGCTGTTGTTAATGCTCTACTAGAACCCGAAAACTAGTTGTATGAACGAGAAAACGGGGAGCACCAACAATATCAGCTTGTTTTGAATAAAATTATTACAACAGGTATATATGCGAACAAGAGCGTTTTGCAGGTACAGGTTGATAAACCCTGTTGTGAGTCCGGATGCAGGTTTCG